TGTCCTGCTCATACTCCTTTAAGTGATCCCAATTAACTCAATGGTTCATCAAGTCAGACTTCCATGAAAGCATTTAGTCTGTTGTAGGTTCCCTTTCCATGGTGAGTAGATGTGTGTTATGTCTCCCAAGGAAAAGTCTTTCACAAAACACACACTGGCCAAGCAAAATTTAACAGTGTATGTATAGCAATGTATGTGTCAAGGTATGCGGCTAAGAGTAATTTACCTTTCAGTTTTTCCTACATGTATTATAATGTATGTTTGATTAGATAGATAGAAAATAGTTAATTTTTAGGAAAAGCTTTAAAAAGCCATTTGGATATCCAAGTCTTAAAAATTGTCATTATACATTTAAAATGCATATAAAGTTGAAAATTAATTATGTTAATTAACCCTATATAACAATACTAGAAACAGTATCTACATTATTTAATTTATAAATGCAGTAATAGCTTTTACAAACTTTACTTATAATTTTCCTATGCACAAATGGCATAGTTAATTAAGATAATATTCATTTATAATTTACCGCATGTGCATATAGATTTTACCTCTTCTGATAAGGGCTATCATGTGTAAAGACCTAGACTCTGATAGTGTAGATTCCACTTTCAGTGAGACTTAATAAATTTTTCTGTCATGGAGTCCACAATATTTATTTATTATTGATTTTACTGATTAGGGGCATAAGAAAAAATAAAATGCTTTATAATATTTTACAAAATAAATTCCATATTGGAATGCAGTTTAGCAATTGGAATTTGTGAGGCTTTTAGGCTCTGCAGTAATAGGTCATGTACTGTCACCAAGAAGAATCTGAGTTCACGAGGACAAATTGAAAACTCTTCCACAAAATATGTCTGTGTATGCATTCCTAAAGTACATCCCAAGTCCATGCTCCAAGCTTTAGGTATAAAGAAAGTAGCACAGGTGTGCTCTGGAGAATTTGATTGACTCAAGGCATCAGTCTTATCTAGCTGTGAACACTGGGTGTAAACTACAGTAACAACCTCCTTGTCAAGGTGGACCCTCCGTAACTATGGTGCCATGGCTGTTATGGGGGTAAGTAACTGTTCTCTTGGGTTTGAGGCTTATTTCACAAAAGGGACTTCATGACTGGTAATGTAAACCCAGGAGGCCTTAGACCCTAGGAGGGGAACTTACTAATCTTATTTAGCTAAAGTGACATCTCCAAGTTGCTTGCCAAATGCTTATGTTTATAACCGTAGACAAATGCTGCTCACAGCCTCAATAAGAGACTTTTCTGTACAATGAACATAAGTGTAGAGAAACAAGGCTACTCAACATCCTGAGAAAAAGTGATAGTTGAATGTTCAGTCCTAAACAGCACCACTGTGCCCCTCCCCTCAGCCCAGGGCTCAGGGACTGTAACCGAAGAGTCAAAGGAATGCAAGAGCAGAAGATGGGAGGCTGTGACATGCCGGCTTTGGGGCAGGACACAACCAGTGCAGTGAGCATTGAACATGAGCCGTGGCTGCCCCAAACGGACCTGCACAAAACTAGGCCTGTCAACAGTCAAGTGTGGCCTGGGGAGGGGCTCATGGGTCCCATCTTCCCCTAGTGACCTACTGGCTGCCAGTGGATTCTGTGTAGGTGGTCACTGCCCTCAGTGGTATACTCAGTCATGAACCTACCAGGCCCCAGCAGATAGCTCCAACCCATGGTCCCACGGATGGCCCTGATTAAGCTCAGTGGGTCGCCAAACAAAACAAAAAGACATGAATTTCAGAAAGGGATTTTTAAGAATGGAGGAATAAGAGGCTGGGGGACAGATAAGAGAGGGTACAGGATGACATGTATTAGAATGCACTGTATACATGTCTGAAATTGTCAAAATTCAAATTTAATAAGTCATTTTTAAAATAGACAGAAATCTAACAGCCATGTGTGTTTTACTGACCCTGTTGTAGGTTGACTGGGGTCTGCTCTCACTCCCTTATGAGAGATTAATTAGCACCTGTGTAATTTTTACATAAAACTAATGAACTCTTCTTCAAGGGAGGTGATGTTTCCTCTGAATTTTAGGAGATCATTTCACATCATGGTTATTCGTTCTTATTACAACCTATGTCAGACCATGCTCTTTCCTTTTGAACTTTGACTTTGTAACTTATGCACAGATAAAATAAGATTAACTTGGGTCTCTGCCCTCTCAGCTGCACGTGCCCAGCTCCTTTAGAATAATGATCAAGGTTTGAATTGCAACAACCAATCAGATGTCCTCTATTCCTCAAGTCAGTTCTGATGTCACACTTTGAACTTCAGTCCAAGAATGTACCTGATGGGCAAGCGATGAACTTTAGACATCTCTGTGATGTATAATATGCCTTATCCAAGCTTGATGTTCCTCTCTTCCTTTTCCTGTGTGTGCACATATTTGTGTGTGTGTGTGTGTGTGTGTGTGTGTGTGTGTATTTGGGTCTACCTAAACATGTGTGTCCACTCTTGCAAGACTCAGGTTGATGTCAGGGATCTTCCTAAACTACTCTTCAATCTTACTCTTTGAGGCAGTTCTCTCAGTCAAACCCAGAGTTCACCGATATGGTTACACTTACTAGCCAGTTTGCTCTGTGGATCCTGTCTCTACCTTCCAGACTGGAATTACACATCGGCCAGCACACACTCCCCTGGCATTTACTTGAGCTACTGGTGATCAGAACTCAGATCTCTAGACGTGGGTGCCAAGGGATTTACTAAACACACAGCCCTAACCTTGGCCTTTCTTCAACATGGGCATGCGTATTAATTTATGCCATCCCAGGGAGTTCCTGCACAGTTCTGGGGCTCTCCAACTAAGATCCGTAGGATGAAATTTAAAAGGAGAGAGAGAGGACACCTTGCTTTTTGTTGTTGTTGTTTTTAGAAGATAAATACTAAGCTTGGAGATTCTATAGACAATTCTGCTAAATTCAATCATGAACCACCAGAAAGTCATTCAAGAAACTGATATCAGATGCTCAATAATCTTGTCCTGTTCTAGATAAACCACTAAGCCACTACTTTGTAAATATATTAAAAGGTTTCATAGTGTCAAAAGTCTCCAAAGCAACAGGGACTTTTCTTTGTTTTAACCCATCAAATGCTGGTGAGGATGTTGAGTATTTAGCCTATAAGGATTGTTAAGAAAGTCTTTATGTGTCTTATCTTAGCTTGAAAT